TAATCCGGTATGAACTGATGACACCGTTCCGTGGGAAGCGCATAGTCACCCTACTTGTCGCCATATTCTTATCTATGCATGAAATCAATAATAAGATAGGGAAGGGTACGCCTCTGAATCATTTGATATGCGTCAAAGCCTTGTCTCCCAAATGGACAGTTCGCTCTCAGAGCGGGGAATTTTAACAACCGCGAATAAAAAATTAATCTGGTGCCTGTGAAGGACCAACCTGCCCACGTTACATTTCCAGTTTTTAATGTGAAAATGACTGTGCAGATTGTTTGATAAAAAAAGGCGAGCACCTTAAAAAATAAACAGACAGCATTCGGATGTGTAAGAGAGAGGTGAACAACCTCAGGTCATATGCAACTACCATTGTGATGAACCTTCCTCACCTAAACAGGGGAGATGTCTTAAAATGCCGAGAGATGACAAGTTTATTTGCACTAAAAGCTTTTTTGCTGGTCTAAACCTATATCACAAAAAAATCAATATTGACTTGCTACTTCATAATATTTGTGATATGAAGCATGAAAATTGTGTCATTGGTCATAAGTAATATCTGGAAATTGCTTGACGTCAAACATTTTGACCCCCTAAATCTTTTTGGTACCTTTTTAAGTGATCAGAAAACTGAAAAATGCCGAAAACTAGGTTTGAACTTCAAAGAAATGACCTCTCCAGAAATGTATATGAAAACACATCGATAACTAAGTCTGGAGACGTTCTGAAATTTTAGTTCTTTGCCTCTTCGACCGATATTCGAAACCTTAGGCTTTGTAGTCCTTGACACGCTAGCAACATAGTGTAAAGATTTTATAAAAAAACTTGAACGGTGACATTGTTTTTCGTGATGTCGTTAACATGTTAAAAATATAATATTGTGATTGTAGAACCTAGCTGTAACACTGCCTTGACATTGTAATTAAAAACTTATAGTTGCCCAGGCGTCTCAGAATTCAGACTAACTAACATTTTCGAGTCATTCAAGGTCAAATCCAAAAGAAACTTCCATTATATTTTTGTTTTAGATTGAGAACGAAAAAGGTGAAATTATACTTGAAGATTTGCTGTTTCTATAGCGGATTCCACGTTCTCTATGAAACACTTTATCATGAAATAATCTTGTCTACATAGGCATTCGTAATTCCCAAGGAGGCTTGTGAGCAAGATGGAATGAAAAACATTATTTTATGTACAACCTTTCTTGGTTTTCCTAAGCATACGAAATCTGATTTTGGGAATCTGGAATCATACGACAAATACAAGCCATCTTCTGTTTATTTAAACTGGAGGCACTCTTGTTCAGGATGTTTTATTAGTTTAGCTGCAGAACAGGTACTTATTAATGCATTCAATAATATTTGGGTTGAAAATGCTTAGATTTTGTTTCCTAACGTCGACGAAGTATTAGACATTGTAAAACCAGGATTCTTACAAACCGGGTTTTTACCAGTACGATCCTTCTAACAGGCCAGAGGATCAAGCTTTTTCGTTTAGTCGGACATTCCTATTCTAAACACGATTTAGCAAATTTATTTCCTTTTAAGCACAGTGGGAGATGATAAAATATTCAGAAGGCTGGGTATTTAATTTACGACTTTTTTAACTTTTAGCTGATACCCAGATACAGGGTGCTCAAGATAGGGATCCTACCTGTGGGATATACAGCTCAGCTTAAATTAGGAAAAAGTTGCGTTGGGAAGCTTTAGAAATTTTATGGCTTACCGAGATATTTGGGAAATCACTAATATTTGGTTAAATAGTTTTTATTTTTTTCTGACTTTATTTTAAGAAATATCAAAAAAATAAAGCTTTTCCATTTGCACTTTTTAGGCTCTACAAGATGATGTTTTTAAATTTTGTGCCGGATGAGTCGTTTTTGAGAAACCACCAACTTTATTTTTTATATGGTCCCGAAAAAAGTACGTTATGTGTATCACGTTACATTTTTTTTGGTTATTATGAAAAATGCGTCTTTCCTGATTTTTGCTACATTTTGTGCTACAAAAATACTTAAAATATTGCAGAAACGTATCTTGATAAATTTCCCGAAAGAAGCAGCCAAGTAAGTAATTTAAATTAATATGGATTATTCAAAAAGCCTGCTACGTCTTAAAAAAAGGAATCTTTAGACGAACTCGGAATAGTGCTTTACAAGCAGTTGCTGAGAACTCTGAGTTATCAACTAGGCAAATTGAGAGTAATGTAGGAGTAGCCTAATCCACATCCTGATTTATTTTTCGTACAGATAGATATTATCCCTATAAATTCAGGATTTTCTCAGGATAGCCCACGGCGACAACATTTTTGTGAGTTGTACGACCTACCTTGTGAAGATTTCAATTTACCGTCATTCCCTCGTCATGTAATATGCAATGATCATCGGTCAGTGATCACATAATCTTAATTCAAGCATTTGTTTGCAACGCCTTTTTAAAATAAAAAATAAAAAAGACATGTTTCTTTATAACTAAGAAAACAAATTTAACATGTGATCGATTATTGAATTTGTAGAAAAAGATACAAGGTGTACTTTTCTTTCGGACCGTGTTAAAAAATAAAGTTGATGATAGTGTATAAGTTCCTCAAAATCGAAACGTGGGGCACAAAATTTAAAAGCACCATCATGTAGTTCCTATAAAGCGGCAATAAAAAAGTTCCATTGGTTTTTTGATATTTCTCAAAATAATGCCGGAAAAAAACGGTTAGGTATTGATATCCTCGTGCATAAGGGGCCGTTCAAGTATTACGTGAACACCCTGGGGGGGGGGTCTTTGCTTTGCTTATGTTGGATGACATGGGGGGTAGGGGAGTCTAGATGATGATCACGTCATCGGTAGTTATTTACTTTTTTACACGAATGGCAACCCTCACATTGTCTTTGCTTGAAAACGAAACGCATTTTCGGGGATTCCCGCAAATAATGCATACGTTTAATTATTCCCCTACTCGGTTCTAAAGCGAGTAGGGGAATTACCGCGCGCTGTTCACTTGTCTAAATTTCCTCTATCAGTGTATTGTTTCGTTTGGATACTATTGCGAGTAGACGTATTGTAAGCATAGTAAAGCAAGTTAACATTTGTGTTACCATTGATTCCATTAGCCAAAGTTATACCAAAAACTGTTTGAAAGTTTAAAAAAATCTACAAAATGTACAAAAATTAGTTAACGAAGTGTAGCGAAATTACAAGCAAAATCCGTCAAGGAACTAGATATTATTATATCTAAGAGAATCGAAGAAGAATTGCAAGCGGCGACTAAGAATAAATACAATCTACTAAATTTTTTTTCTAAGGTGAGTGACGAAATCATTTTAGGTACCTATTAGTACTAGAAATATTAGAAATCGCCAAAAAGTTTCTCTTTACTGATTAGAAAATATTATGGCCTATCTTAAAGTATAGAGGTAATATTCATTATCTTATAGATTTATTTCTTATGATTGATTCCGTCAATTGGTCACAAAGTACACGATGTTAGTTTCATACATATATACAGAAAAATAACACCCTGTATTTTGTGACCGGAACGAATTGCTCGTTTAAACATATTAGATTTAAAGCCATTGGGTTTTGTATTTACCATGTATATTGCCATACTTTGTATTTATGTAGCTTAATAAGAGAATCTTCAGCAGAAGACGTAAAAAGTTTTTATTTTTAGGCAACCTGTAAACCTGCAGAAAAAACACAAATTGTACAGTCAGCTTCAAATATTAAAAAAGAGGAAGAAGATAAAATAAAACCCGGTAACGAATCACAACAGCAATGCGAAATTAATGAAAATACAGATAAACACAGAGCAAAACCTTCTCAGGAAGCTATGAAAAATAAGATTGCTCTACTCGAAAAAAATCTGAATGCTTTGTATTCTGCCAGACATACTATGCCAAGCCGTGCTGAAGTTGATAAACAGATCATTAAGTTGCGCAAGGAAATAAAAACAGCAAAACAGTCTTTAAACAGGAAGGCTCAAAACGCAGTTGCCCAGAAGAAACACAGGGATCGTATGAAAAGAAAGTTACAAGATATTTGTCATGAAAATCCAGAAATAAAAAAAAGGCTATCTCAAAGGGATTCAGTGGGACGTCCTAATCTTGAAAGCAATCAACATTCACTATTGAAAACAATCGCGGATATAGCTTTATTTGGGAGTGCAGCAGATGATAGAAGATGAACGGAATCAATTCGCAGCGTAAAAACTCTTGATGAACTCACACAAGAATTACGTAAAATAGGATTTGACATTAGTCGCAGAGGGACATATCTTCGTTTGATTCCCAGAAAATCTAATTCTGCAGAGGGACGAAGACATGTATCGGCAGTCCCTGTTAAGCTCATTCGAGCTCAAACTGATCACCACAAGAGCTACTTAGATAGCAAGTTCGCTGAAACATCAATCCATTATTTAGTGAACATAGCATCCATAATTGGACCAGATCAAGTATTTTTCATATCTCACTATGATAAAGCTCGAGTCACTATTGACGTAACTGCGGCAAATAAGCAAGCACCTCTTCTAATGCACATGGAATATCGTAGAATCAAATTGCCTGATCACGATTGGGTAATCGCTGAGCGTCATAAATTAATACCATCTGTTTATGCTGGTATCAAAGTCACTTCCAATATGCTAGGACAACCGCAAGCTGTTGGATATTCTGGACCAACATACATCGCTATTCGAAGTGGAAAGCATAGTTCATCTACTGCTAATACTCATGCCCAGGATTTCGAGACGCTTCTCGGACTTGAAGAGTTTCGAACATTAGCTAAAACTGACCATGGACTAGTAAAACCAGTGTTAATAATGACGGTTGATGGAGGGCCAGATGAAAATCCACGTTATCAAAAAGTCATAGGATTTGCTATACAACACTTTAAGCGACATGATCTCGATGCATTGTTTTTAGCTACCAATGCTCCTGGAAGAAGTGCGTATAACAGAGTAGAACGCAGAATGGCTCCTGTTAGTCGGGAACTGGCTGGTTTAATATTGCCTCATGACCATACGTGGCGTTACAATTGATGAATATTTAGAAAGATCTAATTTCGAATTTGCAGGAAATGTATTAGCTGAAGTATGGAGTTCAATGGAAATTGATGGCTATAATGTTAATGCAAAATATGTTGGGGCAGGTGAACAAGATCTTCCTGATTTTCCAGACATTAAATGGTATTCAGAAATGTGCGTGAGAGCCAATACTTGCTTCAAATTGTAAAATGTAGCAATACAGAATGCTGTCGTCCAAGAAGTGGCCTATTTGGATTACTAGACAATAGGTTTCTTCCACCACCTGTAAAAGGAAAACAAACAGTTGATGACTTGGTTTTGGATGAAGGAGGGTAATTTTTTAATCTTCTAGTCAATTTAGCTCTACGCTTAAGTGCTTCTCACTCAAAGATTTCCTGCAAATGCCCTACGATGATTTTTTTTCCGACGGTAAAATTGAAGCTATCAAGTCGAACATGCAAAACGTGTGGTCTTTATCATGCTTCCGTCAATTCACTAAATAGCCACATCAAAAATATCCATAAAAAAGTAAACACGCACACTGATAGGAAAGTTAGACCTGTAAGAGTCGCTGCTCGTCGTGCTAATGAACTGATGTGCATTATTCAAAATTTAGAGCACCATGATGTTGAATGGCTTGATGAGAACGACGTAGACATTCCAAAATCCGATGAAAGCGAGCAAACTCACAACACTGAGCAGCAATCGAAGCAATCCAATGTCATCGAAAACTTAGAATCATGGATTCGGGTTTCATGGACTGAAGACCGTTAATTTGAATTTAATATATGTACCAAAAATTTAAAATAAGTTTCTAATGTTAGTAAGATATAATACTAAAAAAAACAATACATGAATTGACAAATGTTTACGTAAGCATGGAGGGAGGGGGTAAGAGCTTTGCTTACTTTTGCTGACAGGGGGGATTGGGGGGGTAAATAATTGTAATAAATCTGCTTACGTAATTGTTGAACGGCCACAACGATCCTAAAAATAAGAGTTAAAAATTTCAAACACTCTCTTTAATGGAATGTGGGTCAGGTGGAAGTCCGTTGCGAGTAATTTATAGTCAGAATATGAAATCAGTACCTTATAGAGTGGCGGATCTACAGGCTGTCAAAGTTGAGTTTTTTTTAACTTTGTATCACATACAACCGTTGATTAACGTGATTAATGTGCTCTACCTGAATATAGCCAACCATACACTGTATTCTTGGGGATCTGAAAGATATGAGTCAGCAGCAGAATACAAAAATTAGTTTAGAAATCTACTTTGAAACGAATTTGAGTGTTTCGTTCTGCTACTATCTCATAGACTGCGCTGGGGTCACCATGCTCTTTTTAGCCTCTCTTATGTCTATTTTAATTGGGTACCTTCAGATAAAAAGTAGACATTAGAAAGGTCAAAAAGGGATCGGAGAACCTAGGTCCATATATATTGTCTTATAGTACTAGTATCTGCCTGATCGCTTATTGGATGCCGGTATACAGTATATGGTTGGATAACTCAACAGCTAATCATCAAAGCGTCAATACGAGTATAGTAATATCTTCTGCAGGAAGGATATATATCTGAACCTGTAATAAAATAAGGGACGTTCAGCTTGGGGAATATTTTCAGATTTTGACAGTTCTTTTTATGTGGTGTTTTTCTTAGGTCTTTTATTGCATGTTCGGGTACATTCTTCCAGAAGAACAAAGTTGATATATCATATTAAAGTAGCTTGGTGACTCGTTATTGAGTTATAGGCGATGCAATATGCAGGGTGTTCATTTGAAGACTTCCCACTACGGATTTTTTCACCTCCTGCCCCCAGGGTCATCCCCTTGAAAAATTTTAATTACAAGAGGTATTGAGTAATAACGAAAGGTCTTTCGAAGTCCTTCATTTTGACGTTTGATTTTTATAAAATCGATCGATTCGTTTTCAAGAAAAGGTGAAAGGGGGTGAAGTAGTTTTTTGTTGTCCCCCTTGAAAAATCTTCTGACGTGTCTCGGCGTGTCTTCTTTTAATCAGTTGTTATCGATAAATCCGTGGTGGGAGGAACCGCTTAACTTTTACTTCCTGCCTGTTTGCTATTTTGAAAGCTGGATTAATGTATATGCCATAGCGTTCACTTTGAGCGAGTTTAAAAATCGTCTACATTTCACTGGGCTGGCCAGTTGTCAGATTTCGGATCTAGAATTTAAAAACGATTAAACATTTTATAGGCATTTTATAGACATTTAAACGAAATTTTACTAGATGAAATATACCTCTGGTAAGTCAGTGACTGAATATAGATTGTAAGTAGCGGGGCTGCATTTGGCCAAACATCTGGCCATCAAAGCTAAACATTATCTTCTTTAATAGCTAAAGATAATCTTTATAACACGAGCGCGGATACAGCTTTGAGTTAGGTGAGAGTCACTTGTCCACAGTGGTGGTTTTGGGAAGTTGCCTAGAGGGGAAGGGGTGCGACGACTGCACTTGTGATAACTGAACAGCGGGGTGGCGTTGGATCGCCAGTCTCGATTCCCATGACATATCCTATATCCGCCCTTGGCCGGACGTAAATCAAATTCAAGCGAATAACCAAATGAAAATGGTATTTACCATTTTGGATTGGTATTTACCGATCCATTCAAGCGGGTGTGGTTGTCAGTTTGGTTATGAGATCCGTGACGTCATGAATCAGCTGTTATATGTCATAGTTATCACCGTAGAATTAAGGTATTTACCCAAATCAGGAGTAGTTTTATATTTCTGATTATTATTTGAAATGTGACAAGTTAGAATTTTGCCGGGTATTGGATATTTTTATTGTACTTCAGGTTCATTTTTGGGAAACTTGATACAGGCTGACTTCAGTTTCATCATAAAGTAGAGCGCATTATTAGTTATAATCATTACTGTTGTTGGGGAGACTTTAAATCTAGGTCCTATGCTTAACAAAGTATCCTGTGTAGCCAAGAATAGCCCAAGAATATTGAAATACGGCCATATAAAATGACTGGATGATGTCCTCCTGTATACGGTTTCGCTAATATCTTTTTTTCATCTCTTTTTCCTATCATTTCTGCTAAACCAATAGATGTTTTCTTTGACATGCGGAAAGGTTTAGAGAAGTGAAAGTTAATATAGTTACAAAGCCATGGTTCCATCATTAAAATATTTTTTCTGAAAAAAAAACATTGCTCCCATTAATATTATGAAAGGTCTCTTTTTTAAACTTTACATACACCGTTGTAGACGAAAAAGTCCCGATTATTAAGTGATAATAAAAATAATCAAAAATTATATACGCGCTTTTCCAAAAATAAACAACTTGCAACAAAACCGCGGTTAAAACCAACGCGTTCAAGCGATTCGAGTAACTGACGTCATCAACCCGTGTGTCATCTTGAACCATATTATAACCGCGGTACATAACACAGAAATTTTGGTTATTCGCTTAGATTTGATTATACAGTTTTGACAGGCTGGACTCATAAAAGCTGGAGCGCACAAAACCTTAACCAGTCAAACTTGTCAGGCTAAAGCTGAATGTATGGCAACCCTACTCGTAAGTTATGGTTTTGTTCTCGCATCGTTTCATGTCTGTTTATCAATTTTGAAATTTTCTAGCATAATTTTCTATATCAGCTTTATTTTAACACTTGTTTTCAAACCGGGCTAAGCAAACACTAAACATTGAACCTCATGAAACGGTATTTAATCTGTCAATCAGATTGATCAGGAGCAGAGCATGTTTTGGTTGTGATGCTCAAAATGATCATGTGCGTTCAACAGAAAATAAAGCATCCCTAGAGTAGCGCTACATTGTGGAATGGGACCATTATTTATATTAGCGAAATCTAGCGATACCGTGAATGTTTCTACTGCAAAATTCAATGACATCCTCTTACGTATGTCCACCTCTATAAAAAATGTCATTCAAATAAAATCACTTGTACTGGATGTTCTACTTTATTTGTCACTGAGTACGATATACCTGGTAAAGCCCTGTATATCTTGCAGCACCTGCTCTAAATGAACACGGTGCAGCAAATTCCTTTGGCTACTTCAAAATGCGTTCGACGTCCGATCGGTATCGAATTAGCCGTTTGACAGGCATCAGCAAAAGCTAGAGCGGCACCATCAGCAAAATCTCGTCGATACGCCAGAACAAGCGTAACGTTCTACTAGGGCAGCCCTTTAATCAACGCCCAGCCAGGTCGAACGCAGCCCGCGTGCCATTAGGCCCCCGAGCCGCCCTTTTGATCCGAAATCGGAAATTGAAACGCCGACGATGCTGATGCGAACGACTTCAAAGGCCGCCCGCGATCCTGCAAATGGGCAGCAGTCGACGACGCACTCGCTCGGCAACGAACACCGAGGGTTATTGCGTACCATCTGCAACTTCGTTCGCTATGCCAGGTAGTTTGATTCTAAATCCGAATTAAAGGAATACGCGCTTGTAACAGGGGGATGACTTGATTTTTGTCCCTTTTGTTTATTTCGAAAATTACATCAAGTTGATTTATACATTTTACACGCAATGGCAGCATCAGCATAAAGGTTATACAGTAGAACCTCGATTATCAGACATAAGCGCTAACAGATAATCGAAATTTCGGGTAAAACGGAAATAAATATTTACTCATAATGCTTTTATTGAAAAAAGTAAGTGTTAAGGAAGTATATACCTATATAAAGTTACGTAAAATATAAACATGTGGATACAAACATACGTATTTACGAGTATTTGGTAACAAAGGAAGTAATTTTTAAGTGTACACGTTTTGCATGTTCCTATTTTCTTAGATTTACTTAGATTTATTTAGATTTCCTTGAATCTCCTTGGATCACTTTGAATTGCCTTGGATCTCCTCCGACTAGGATAGAAAATTTCCTTAAGTATTCTTATATCTCCTCCAAAATAGAAAAATATTCCTATCTGTAAGCAGATACGACATTTTACTAGCAAATTCCTTTGTACAATCAATAAATTTGCATTCGAAATTGTTCTGCGCAGTAAAATAATTTTAACAATATTTTCTGCCATCGAACGATGGTGTGCATATATGCTTGAATAAAATTTGCATACATGTTCGTTATTCCGAAGTAGCAGTTCAAGGAAGTTGTGTGGAGAAACTCCTCCCCTGACACAAAGAGAATATATAACTTTGAAGCTCAAGTTCGCAACTAGCTAAGTGCTGTTAGGTAAGAGTTACTGCAGTAAAGTTGTGCTTTAATGCTTGGGAATTTGTCATGTATTACACTATTGAAATATGGATAAATCTCTGTACTTAGGATAGTTGCGACCTCCTACGGAGGTCCTTTTAACGTTGCAGTTTGACGTTATCATCATTGATAACTTTGAGCGTAGTGAATAAAAAGTAGTAAGTAGTAAGTAGTAATAAATCTGTGTTGCTGAAAATAGCGGCAGCGGAAGAAAAAGCCTGGAATGAAATAAAAGATGAGTACAGTAAAGACATTGGCAAAGTAATCACCACAGCACAACTGAAAAAACTCCTGAACAACATGAAGACGAATATTAATAAAAAAAATGCGACGGGTAATACACCAATGAAGGTGAATAAATAGGAAAGTGAATTTCTAGAAATCGTGGGGTCAGCTGGAGTAACAATAGACAACTCATGAGGTGCATCGCTTGTAGGAATCCGAAATGCGTCCTGCCTAACAGATGTAGCCTCAAAAGGGACCAGAAGTCCGCCCCGTCAGGAAGTTCATCAGGTAAAACGACGAAAACGTGTTCTAGAAGGTGAAACAGACGAAACATCTCAACTTACTACTGACTTGCAATGCTTTCTACTATTACAACAGTTGTCAGCAGCGAGGTTGCAAAAGGAAAAAGACAAGTTAGTTATTGGTTAAGTGGAAGAGTAGCAATCAAGCTAAACTTCGCCATAATATGGAAGGTTCCAATAAAGACACTTTATTATTATTATTATTATTGAATTATTGAAACAGCGTTTAGTTCAAAATGGAAATTTAGAAGCGCCTAGTCCCGCCGAGAACATTTCAACAGAGCTCGGGACATATTTACTGTTTGACAAGTACCTAATATTTTCTTTTTATGTATTCAGTTGTCATAAATAAATGTTTCCATGTTAAAAACATGTTTAATGCAGAAAACTACATAAATGTTATAAATTTAAAACTGCAATAATATCCTCACGTTCTCTTACTACTGTACGGCGAAAAAGTTCATCTTCAAAGGCACCTTCTAGGTCAAAGTCATCGTTCAAATATTTTGCTATATTACGCGCAACATAATATTGTTTTGGGTACCTCTCACTTGATACTCTGACAGTATTGCTGAGTATAGGAAAGCGCATTTTCAGTTGTACGAATAGTCTTTCTATTATCACCCCTTCCCGAGAATGTAATAGCTTGAACCTTTTTTGTTGTATGTTTATTGCAGGTTTAAATGGAGTCGATAGCCATGGTGATATTCCAGATCCAGAATCACCAAAGAAACGAAAGGATCCCTTAAACTGTGATAATACTTCATTTACTGTACTTCGTCTTCAAATCTTGCCGTCGTGTACATTTTTCTCTAGCATCACAAGTAGCTTGTACATTTATACTTGTATAGCCTTTGCGATTTACGTACTCGGCAGCAAATCTTCCCAACCTTTTTAATTTTACGTGAGTGCAATCCAACGTACCGATCACAGCAGGAATTGTGGAACATGATTGCCATTTAATTGATCTCTGGTACCGTTTACTAAGAACCAAACCTATCGTTTTGGAGGCTGTAGTGCGGTGAATCCCATAGCCTTCTGATACTTCTCTCTGAAAACCCGGATCGCCCAGATAGCGTAGAAATATCTCCATTTTTGTTCTTGCAGATAGCGCTGCGCATCTGCGTTCATTATTTTCTGGCAGAAATTCGGAACATAAGAAATTTACACTTCCTGAATCAAACCTTAACAAACGTGTTGACTGACGTTCCGTCTTTTTCGATACGGCACGTAAATGCATAAAATCTGCCATGTTCAACCGTACGTATACTTACTTTACAAATTATCGAGTATTTACTAACAACATAAGCATACACTGCCCCATTGGTTACTCAATTTTAAGTGAATATTCGGAAAAACTGAGCTTTTACTACATAAGCTAAGTTCTTACTATAAAGAGAAGTAAATGCTTGATCTTAAGTATTTACTTCATATTTTATTCACTCAAGTATTTACCTACAAATGCTCTAGTACAAGCATTCATTACATTTTACTTAGTTGGTTCAATAGCTCATTGAAATTGTGATAACTAGGTATGTTTTACATTGTCCTTACCTTTGGATGTAACGGGGACGAACATCCTCCTACTCGTCCTTAACAAAACCTACTATGATTGCTATAATGATTAATCTTCCTTTGGATCCCTTCATGTACCTAACCTTCGTTACAAGGGTTGTATTGTTTCTTTTACATTGCAGGCATACGGGCAATAGAAACTCAGCTGGTATAAGAGTTACAAATGATGCGACGGAGAATCGTGTGGTTATGATCCTTTTCAAACAAAAATAGTAGACATGATGGATTGAATAATGGTTGGACTTCACTTTGGATTGATTGTGAATAGAAAGTGTTTTTTTAATTGTTTCGTGCGTGAGGGAGTATGAAGTTACTAGGAATAGCTTCAAGGTTTTCCGCGTTATCACCTATAGGGGGATTAGCAGAATCATTAAATCATATACTATTATTTTATCTCACATTAATAATAATTCATGTTATTAAACTTCTAATATTCACATATCCACTGCCTTCACCTTTAAAAAATGTCAATTTAGTTTTTTTTTTTTTGGAACGGAAATGTCGAAAACGTTAACAATTCAACAGTTCTGCTTAGTCGAAACTTTGAAAAAATTGCAAACTTCCTCCAATATTTCGTTCTTTGCATATATCGCTAATGAAGCTTATTATTTCTATGTATGCATAATATGCAAGAATTTAGCTTGTTCACGTTTCACGAATCTACCAGCCATTTTGAAGTAGGTTCCAAAAAATGTTTAGAGGTGTGCAAGGAACCCTTTCTCGGCGATTGGCCGCTGTATAGTAAAATGAAAAACTAATGATTGTGTGTAAAAATATGTAAACGGTGGCATGGCATTATATGTATAAACCAAATTTGTTTGATGGCGTAAGTTCAACGTGTACGAGAGAGAAGTGTGTATAAATACATATGTTAGAAAGATATAGAAGACGGCTGGATACCGAAGTTCATCACCGTGTTGTCTAACAACGCAGACGGGAAAATATGCCGGGTTTCCAACGTGTTGTACCAGTTCCTTGAATTAAGATTCATGTTGAAAATATGCGTTAGTTTATTCTCTACGTCCAAATATTTTTTTATTTTGAGCGTACACATTTTTTAGTTGTGTCGAATCTGTTTAGGATCGACTCCGGATCAGTCCTAATGGCACTTCGTTTTAGGTTAAAATGAAAGGTCAGGTTCGCCACAAATTCTGCAACATTTCATCATTGGTTAGCTTGGCAATACCGCATCTCGTACATTCCCAGGCAAGGTTTCCACTTCTATGATCATAGATGAGCGATGTCGGTCATTGGGGAGTGTCGTCCTGTTTCGAAATGTTTTTCACCTGCGTACACATAGGCAGTGATAATTTGTATTGCTTAATTGTATTTGCTACATTTTCCAGCCGCTCGCTGTCACAAATATAACAATAACTCGGGATGTGTCGATTATATCACCATCGGAAAAAATGCAACAACAGACGTCCTTCTTGGGTTTGACCTATCGTAGAAGCCTGTGCGAACATTCTCTTTTGTAACATGTGCGCAACGCGGCAGATTGCACGACCTTCTGCTAGGCGATGTGGTGATGACCTTCGCTTTTAAGCCGGCTTCTATCTCTTTCTAACATGAGTTGATCCACACTTCCCGCGCCTGTCTCTGGTACACATTAAACTCGAGCCGTCTGACAAATTTGGTTTTCCCCGTATAAAATAATTGAAGCAATAACCAAACAATATCTATATTGACAACAGATTCAGACATACAGCGCGATCATCGAAATGTAAAAGCACGCGAAACCGAAATAGTAAGTATAGACGACAAGACATAATTCTCGCACGGTAGGTTACGTCGAGATTGAGTCTTAAAAGTAATAAATATAATCAAAGAGGTCATAAGAGATTCTTTTTGCTTCTGCAGACATCCATATACCCCCATAAGCCGGTAGAATCTCCGAGTAGCCAATTTCTTTTATGGAGACAAATGCACCGCTAAAAAGGTCATATATATTTTTTGCCGGTGGTCCCCGGAAATCCACGTCCATCCATAATTCAAATAGATTTTAATCCGTAAAAGAGGAAATACAGGGTGGCCAACATGTAACTGACTGATTCGTTTCTCTATTCCTCTAGGATGAAATGGAATATATTCAATTTTTTTTTATTTTAACATTTTATTGAAAGTTTTGTAAGAACAATGATTGCATATAAATACCTACTTCTGAATGAAGGTCACACAAACCTGAGACCAATTGATTACGTGTTACTTCATTTTTTTGTAGGTTTCGTGAGTAATATCTTGAATAGCTTCCCGAATAGTGTTCTTGAACCCATCCATAGTGCTTGCTTTTTGACACAAGCCTTATCTTTTAGATGATATGATATCTGCTGAACTTTGGGACCAGGTGCAAAATATACTTCCCAAAACCTATCAAAACATAAATCTCAAGTTACAGTAAAAGGTTGAGACAAAAATTGTATCTAATGAATCTCTTTTTTAAGATATTGGCGAAAAAAGTTATATATAGTCCACCTTGTATATAGGAAAGTCTTTAGCAATGCTGAGATTTACTTGAAAAAGGAAAAGTTGGGAATTTGTAGAGTGGTGAGAGTGCTGCAAGGAGCTTTTATGTGATTTTTATGTCCGAAAACACTTTATGTCCCAATTCGTTTGTTTTTTCCTCACGCTTGCGAGGTGGAATTGGAAGTTTGGCGGTGGTTTTTATTCTTCCAATCAAAAGTTGTGCTAAAAATAAGATGGTTTCCGTTTCTCTGCTACTTAGAAAGTTATTTTTTCGTCAAATGGCTCGCCTCATGTTTATTTTATTTAAGGATGTTATATCCTTCAAGAAGATGTAGGCCTCCGAATTTCGTTAAGCAGTAAAATTTTATTGGGAATGCAAAAAATTGTGTGAATTCTTTTTTCCTACGAATTTATGATTTCTTTATAATTAAAGGAATTGTTATTCCTAAATTCAAAATGGCTTGATGGACACTTGAGGTGTCCTCAGATTCTTCTAGATAAATCAATTGAGATATCCCACAGCTTCTGTCAATCGTTCGGCATCGTTATGTACTTTCACTTCCTACGCCACTTAATCGCGGAAAATTTGGAAAATAGGATATTATACCATGTCCGTTGGTTTGTTTGCTTGTTGTTCTGATTATCGGCCCGTCTGTCTGTCCGCCCGCTAATCCGTGGGCTGGATATAACTTGGAAAGTTTCTGATAAGAATTTCACACAAGATAACTGCTATGCCAAGGATGAAAAAGCTTTATAATTTTTGAAAATTGGATGAGTGGCGCTAGGGACAACAAACGTCAAATACGTATAATAATAACGTTTTTTTGACGTTTCAGAGGTTCCTGATCATTTAAAAAAATGAAGAACTGTGTGTTGTATGAAGGTTTCAATTCAAGCGTTAGTATATTTATTTACTTCCAAGCTCTTTAATTGTACACACCTATTAGATATATTTCATATTTCCCCGTTCATTTGCCCTTAAAACTTTTAAAATATCCCAAACAGGCGTCTCTGGTTTGTGGGTACACCGGCCTCACCGATGAGTGTCGTGCAGTAACTACCGTGCTGCTGTGGCTAACGAGTGGTAAGTGGCTAGGTGTGGGCAAGGGGCGCGGTTAATCATAGCAATGTTGTCAAATCGTCTGTAATGTCGATAGAATAGGTAAGATTTTTCTGTGGACTAACTGTATGGACATGTTTGAGAATTCTGCACTACTCAGGTGTTGTTTGAAATAGCATGCAGTTTTTCTACACTAATAGATAGGTTTGTGGCTTCCCTGTTATAAAGAAAACCTGTCCACTTACGTGATTAGTAACTAACATCAGTACGCATAGAGGCCGTTTAAAATGCCTTTATCAGGTGTACCTGTGATCAGCCGAGAAAAGATAATATTGGGGGTCCATGCAACCGGATCCTATTAAGTTTTTATCGGAAATAGAATGGAACTGCCGGCGAAATAGAGCAAAGCTGAAGCTGAGGGTGAAATGTAGCTGCCGGGCATCGCCAAGACCGTTCCCGCTCTGTTCGATCTGGACCGAGTTTTGTTTTCGTTGGGAAAACCACCCCCCTATTCTCTCCTTACTCTCTGGGGCATGCACATTCGCGAGCTCTCTGAGGGTGAACATGCACGACTACGTTTAAGCTGATGAATGCAGTTATTCCAAGAAGCAATTATTGACGTCTTTATTTATCTACGCTTTCATTGTAGTAGTATAGCCAAATGCGGGACCTATAAGCATGCTAAAAATGAAAACAAAAAAGGCACACTTTCCAAATCTAAGTATACCAAAAA